CACCCTTCCTTGGGTGGAGACCTCTCCTCCCTGGGGACCGCCCTGTTACAGAAGGGCATCTTGTCCAGGGTGAGGTGTTTCCTTGTGCCCTGAGGGACCAGGAGAGGCTCTGGCCATCCATGACCCTGACTTGGAGTAAGTGGTTTGGAAAATGAATGAATACAAGTTATCATTTAATGGAAGACATATTTTAGGTCTTCATTTAGAAGACCAAACATATGCTATTGGAACTTAACTCTCAACTAGCCTATGGTGAAATTGGTTCTGTTATACATCTTGTACCTACAAGTTGCAGTTTCCAAGAATGTATCAATGGCGATGTTAAGTGAGAACTTGCTGTATATATGATTGCTAATTAATTGTTAATTAATTATTGATAAGGATTTGGCTCCTGTGGTTGTAGAGGTGGGCAAGATCAAGGTCTTTGGGGTGAGCTGGTGAACTGGAGTCCATGGAGATCCCGTGGCTGACTCATTCCAAAGGCTGGCAGACTTCAGACCCATGAAGAACTGATGTTTTAGTTTGACCCCAAAGATAGGAAAAGAAAGGTTGAAGTCTCTGAACATAGTCAAGCAGGAAAATTTCCTTTCAACTAAGGACAAATCAGCCTTTTTGTTCTATGCAGGTCTTTTTACTGATTGGATGAGGCCCATCCACATTAGGAAGGGCAGTTTGCTTTACTTAGCCTATTGATTTAAATGCTAATCACACTCAGAAACACCCTAAATAATGTTTGAACAAATATCTGAGGCCCAGTGGCCCAGTCAAGTTGATACATAAAATTACTGTCTAAGGAAGAAGACAGAATGATAAAAGAGACACAAGATTAAAAGGATCTGGTGGTGTGAGACTATTTAGTGTAGGAGTAAGTGACTTTACACGTCTCGGTCCTCCTGATAACAATGTCTTGCAATTAAAGCCACATGCTGTGATCAAAGTTGAAAATATCAGGGACACCATTCATTGAAGTGTTAGCTCTGTTTCCAATCTACTAAGTTCGGAGTGGATCAGGCCAGAGGATCTTCCTCTAAGTGCCTCCTACCTGCAGCCAGAGGAGGACTCATTTTTGCTTTGGGGCAAGCCTCCGCTCTCCCCGATGGAAACTTCTGGGCTATGGTTTGATTCAATGGAGTAGATGTTAGTCATTCATTTTTTGACTTATATTTTTCTTTTTCTTTTGAAGATGTATTTATTTATGCATACAGAACTGGGGTACAGGCCACAGGTACAGGGGTGGTGAGAGGATTCACCAGAAACAGAGTGGGGAGAAGAACAGGCTGACTGAGGGCAGCAGTGGATGAAACAGGAAAGGTCTGCTGTGCCATGTGGGTCACCTCCGGGGCAGGGGATTGAACCCTCACTGAAGCAGCTGCACCCAGCTTGCAGTGCTGTGCTTTAATCCACCAGGGAGGGCCTGACTCACTATTTTTCTATCCTGATCTTGACACTAGGAAAACAGATGTGAGCAAGACATCAAACACCTCTTAGTCTGGTGGAAGTGACGGAGAAAGGAAATATTGATATAGTGTGATAGATGCTGAGATTACAAATTAATATTGGACACTGTGCTGGATTATAGAGTATTCCTAATCCAGCCCAAAGAGTCCTGAGAGGGAAGGAAAACTTCAGTGATGTTTTAAGAGGACTAGAAGTTAGCCAGGAGGCTGGGGCAGGAAATGTGTGTTTGACAGAGGGAATAGCATATATAATAGCATATAAGATGTGATACAAACACTATCACACATTTAGGGAAATAGAAAAAGTTTAACTGGAACAGTAGAAATTTCTAATCAGCTGGAAACATTAAAAAACGCTGATGCCCAGCCTCGCCTCAGATATTTTAATGTAATAGGCCTGGGGTGAACCCTAAGTAGTAGTGTTTTTTTCCCCAAAGTGACAGTAGAGCAGAGAAACAGAGATGCAAAAGGTACTGGTGATGAACTTAATCTTGCAGCGAGCTGGTGATGGGGGAGCTCTGTCAAGACATGATCAAAATCTGATCTGGCTTTGGGGAACTAGAAACATCATGGGCAGAAGTCAACAGACAAATAAAGACCCGCCAGTCCCCAACCAGGGACCTCTCTGCCCTGATAACTCTTCCTTTTGAGCTGTTGTTTCTTATTCCCCACTTTAAAGTGAAAGTCAAGCATGAAATAACAAAACATACAATAAAATAAAATAAGCTGAAAGGTTGCACAATAAAAAAGTGGTAAAATAGTAAAAACAGGCCAACAAAGTAAAAACCCCCAAACTCAACTGGTCAGAATCACCACCAAGGGCTGGATAATAAAAACAACAACTAAACAGTACTGACCCAAGTGGTAAGCATCTTCACGCACTGAGGCAGCGAGGGACTATTTCCATTTTTTTTTTTTAAGATTTATTTATTCATACAGAACTGGGGTACAGGCCAGAGATGCGGAGGGTGAGAGGATTCACCAGAGACAGAATGGGGAGCAGAACAGGCAGATCGATGAAGTACACTGCTGAGGGGAGCAGCGGGCGGGCAGGAGAGGTCTGCCACGCCATGCAGTCACCTCCGGGGCAGGTGGGAATCAAACTCATGCAGAAGTGGCTTAAGCTTCTTAGTGCTGCGCTTTAACCCGCTGCGCCACCAGGGAGGGCCGACTATTTCCATTTTACAAAGAAACAAGATAAGACTTGGGGAGATTAAGTATTATGGTTCCAGTGGGTGGAATAGGCTAAAGACTCCATCTTGTAGATGAGAAAATGGAGGTTAACTTGTCAAGACTGAATAGCCACAGAGGTGACTTACATCAGAGGAGGTGTGAACACATTCCCCTAAATCATATACAGAGTCAATCAATGTTACCTCAATTAACAACAACAACAACAAAAGGTGTCAAGCAGACATGGAACTCAGGTGTTTTAATTTAACTCATGTCCAGACCTCTTTGCCTTAACAAAGGCTGGAACTTGGTTGCACATTGGAGTCGACTCATCTGGGGAGGTTTTTTTTTTTTTACTTTTTTTTTTAAAGGTTTATTTATTATTTATGCATACAGAGCTGGGGTACAGGCCAGAGGTTCAGGGGCCACGCAGAACAGACTGACTGATGAAGTACATTGCTGAGGGGAACAGCGGGCTGGTCAGGAGAGGTCTGCTGTGCCCCTCCAGGGTGGGGATCGAACTCATGATGAAGTGCGTTTAGCTTCTTAGTGCTGTGCTTTAACCCACTGCACCACCAGGGAGGGCCCACATCTGGGGAGTTTTAAGAAATACTGAAGCTGAATAGGCATTTCTCCAGAGATATGTAGCTAGCTAACAGGTGTATGAACAAACTGCTAATCTCACTAAGCTTCAGAAAAATGCAAGTCAAAATAATAATGAGTTCTCACCTCTCAGCTGTGAGAATGGCTACTGTCATATCCAACCGACCCCTCACCTCCCAACAAAAACAAAACAAAACAATCCCCCAAACCCAAAACAAAAGGCAACAAATGTTACTGGGAATGGTGGTGAGGATGTGCACTTGAGAGTGGGGGAACAGGTCCCCCACCTTCCCCTCCATCTCTCACCACCACCCTTTCTTTCCAGTTGGATCACCCAGGTGATAGTCGTTAAACCTGTGTCGGGGTCGGGCCCAGGTCAGACTGACCCCACAGTCCTGCTCACAGTCATAACACCTCTGCCTCTAAGCAGGAGCGGGCAAGGGCCATGTGGTAAAAGACAGGATGTCACCTGCCCTTCCATTTTACTTCTCTGTCTCTGAAGCTTTAGGGTCAACAGCATCATGATTGTCCCAGACCTGTCCACATGGAACCATCATCTTCTAGATGGAGAAAGGGGGTGGTTTGTGGATCATTGAAAAGGAAGAACTTTCTGGCAGCCAAAGGTGTTCAAAGGCTGCCTGGGGAGGCAGTGGGCACCTGCCATCACCTCTGGGTAACCACCAGAAGCATCTGTTGGAGGAGAGTCACCCTTCAAAGTAGCCCTGAAATTGAGGAGCTCACATGGGTTACTGAAAACTCAGTGGGTAAAGATGGTTCTAGAAGATGAGCTCACAGAACTAGGGAGTTCCAGAGGCTACTTCAGTGTGGAGCCCACCCTCCCCCATGATTCTCTTAACGCCAAGTACCCTGTGCTCCAGCAGCAACATGTGGGTCACCCTGAGCTGAAGCAGGGTTTTGGGCCCCTGTTCGAACTGCCGTTATCACTGCTGTGTCAGGTCTGGTGGGGGCAATACCTGGTCGGTGAGCCCCATCCCCCTCTTCCTATAGCTGTTAACCAAGTCCCTGGACTGGGCTGTCCAGAAAGGGGCCTGGAACAAAAAGAGTGGTGGTGAGAGATGAAGGGAAACATGGGTGGGGGTGGGGCTGGACTGGGGGAGAGAGGATGCCACAGTGGCGGGTCCTTGGCCTCTGAAACATCAGACGTGACTCCTAGGTCCGCCAGACTTGCTGTGAAATGCTCAGGATGAAATCTTAAGTCACTTTACTACAGAAAAATCAAAGACAGTCTCTCTACAGCCATCATCTAGGAATTAATCCTACCGTTCTTGAATTGTTGAGAGGATTAGTTGAGATAAAGTTAGAAACTATCCAAAAAAAGAAAAAAGGAGAGGCCCAGTGTAGTGTCACATTTTAAGAACTCAGCCAGGTTAATTATCTTCTTCTCTCCCTACCTTTGATGGGGAGGGCGCTTGTCATCATGACTGCATTGTATTTCAGTTTAAGAGACTTCCACCGCACAGCCACGCCATGCCAGCAACCCTGCATGGCTTTCAGATTATGAACATCAGTATCCCGCCATCGCTCTCTGAGCATGCCCCTGGGGGAAGGGCAGGCCCAGCTCAACGGAGGGAGGGCAGAAGCCAGGGTGCTGCTGGGGCTTTCTCCCCTTTCCTGGGGGACACTCAGGCCCCATGTCCCTCCTTTTTTCAAGGGGTAGGCTTCTGCGAGTGGACCAGGGCTGTTGAGCCGCCTGCCATCTGAGCCCAGCTCCAAGCCAGGGTGGCGGGGGCTCTGCCTTCTGCCCGCATGGACAGCGGGAGCTGGGCTCCCAGAGAGAGGATCATGGTGCTGGCCTTCGCCTTTCTGCTCAGCTGCCTGCTTACCGCCTGCCAAGCTAAGGTCTACAGTCGCTGCGAGCTGGCCAGAGTGCTGCATGAATTTGGCCTGGGGGGATACCGGGGATACAGCCTGGCTGACTGTGAGAACCCCCTTTTTGCCCTGGTGGGCTCCAGTTCCCTCCTGTCACTGGTCCTGCTTTGTCCTCCTTCCCCTTTCTCACCCAAGGTGGACTGGGGTAGGTGGGGAGCAACTTTCTGATGAGAACTGAGAACTGAGTTTCTCATTATTAAAGAAAGGGCAAGCTTACTGGTTTAGCACGCTAATCTTAATCGTGGTCATATGGAGCAGAATCCTGTTACTGTTTAGGACAAGCTGATCACATCCGTAATGCCAAAGTTTTTCAAACCGGTGCAATTTCTGGAAGAAATTTGCGATGTACAGCCACAGCAGGAATCCTTTCTTTCTAAAGATTTATTTATTTATGCATTAAAATACAAGAACTGAGATACAGGCCAGAGGTGCAGGGTTGAAGGGTTCACCAAAGACAGAGTGGGGAGCAGAACAGGCAGATGGACTAAGGGGAGCGGGTGAGACAGGAGAGGTCTGCTGCATCATGTGGGTCACCTTCCTGGCCTGGGATCAACCTTGTGCTGCAGTGGCTGTGGATAGCTTCACAGTGCTGTGCTTTAATCCTCTGCACCTCCAGGGAGGGCCTGGGATCCTTTCTTGAGTCCCAGCCCCTCTCAAGGTCCCACCTGTGTCTTACTATTCTTGGTCTCAAGATTTAGCTCTTGTTCATCCAGACCAATGGTCATTGAGTCTTAAGTTGCGCTGAACAGGGAGACAACGTGCAGCCTGAGGGCCTAGGAATCAGCAGGCTTCAGGCCAGTCTTGACTCCTGTGGTTTTGGTAGGTAATTTTTGAATAAGTCACGTTGCCCCTTTGAAACTTCATGAACTCATGTGTAAAATAGGTAGGAGTATGTGTGCACTTCTTACCTGCAAGCAACATCTGAGGCTTGGATTTGCTACCATGATCACCTGGTCTGGGTTGGCCTTGACTACCTGGCCACAGGCCTGTGTCTCCACATCTGCAGGGGTCTGCCTTGCTTACTTTGCGAGTGGCTTCAACACAGCTGCTGTGGACCACGAGGCGGATGGAAGCACCAACAATGGCCTCTTCCAGATCAACAGCAGGAAATGGTGCAAAAATCTCAACCCCCAGGTCCCCAACCTGTGCCAGATGTACTGCACTGGTAGGCAGCCCAGGTCTGGGGTTGGCTGAGCCCTTGCTTCTCCCCCATTTTATTGTTTACTCCCCCTGCTTTCATCTCTGAGTGGGGAATCCCTCCTCCTATCCTCTCCCCATTCCTAGCCTGCTGGGCCTACCAAGGAAAGTGGGCTGGGGCATTTTCTCCCTGAATCTGATTTGGGGGCCCACATGAGAGACTCTCCTGAGAGCTATATGAATGGAGGGAGATTGCTTCTGAGGTGGGTGGGGAGGGTAAGCGATAGAGTGATGTCTGTGCATCCAGAGCGGGGCAGAGATAGGGTTGGTTAGAAACAGGGTTTAGGGGTGGGGGAGTACCACCCTAGGTATGTGTGTGTGTATGTGGTTGTTCCATTTTTTTAAAAGATTGATTTATGCATACAGAACTGGGGTACAGGCCAGAGGTACAGGGGCAGTGAGAGGATTCACCAGAGACAGTGTGGGGAGCTGACTGATGAAGAACACTGCTGAGGGGAGGAGCGGGCAGTCAGGAGAGGTCTGCTGCATCATGTGGGTGGTCACATGATGCAGGGATCGAACTCATGCTAAAGTGGCTTTAGTGCTGCACTTTCTTAGTGCTGCACTTTAATCTGCTGCGCCACCAGGGAGGAAACAGTTGTCCCATCTTTAACCCCCTTTCCTTCATCCTGTTTCTCTGCCTTCTGCCCCAGACCTGTTGAATCCTAACCTCAAGGATACTATTATCTGTGCCATGAAGGTAGCTCAAGAGCCGTTGGGTCTGGGCAGCTGGTAAGTGACTGGGGCGTGTAGACTGTGGCAGGGAACTAGCCCTTCCTGAGTGAGTGCCCACTCAGCAAAATGGTGAAGCCCAAAAGTCCGTGGCTTCACCATCTACCCTGCGTGACACATTTTGGTGGTAGATATGATCACTGAAGAGTATCCAGACACCCTGCTGGATATCTGGGAGGATAAAGAATCCTTTGTAGGTCATAGAGCCAAGCCCAGTTCTTCCAAGATTTGCCTATGTTGGAATGCAGGTCCACTAGAACAGAGGCTGGTGAATTGTTTTTAATGGTGGCATTCTTGTCTAAACTAAAATTTTCATAAAAGTCCAAGGTGTAAAACAGATCAAAGATAAAGCTCCTTGCTGGAAGCATGTCTGGGACCTTGGAGCCTTGCCCTGCCAACCTTCTCTTTTTCTACCTTCATCCCACAAGATGGTCTTGGAAGCCATCCTTATGAGCAAGGACGTTGGATGGGCATTGGATCAGCTCTTTGATCCAGAGAGGTACCTCGGAGGCCGTGTTTTGCTACTGGCCTCTCGGACCTTTATGCAAGAAGCATCAAAGCCATGGGCAGATGTGATGGTGACAGGGCTGATAGGTAACTTGGATGGCACTCAATATTAGCCCAAGAACAGAAGGAAGGAGGACACCAGGGCTGGGTGAGGTGAGTGGTGAGGAAAATTTGTCAGGAGTCTCATGGGTGATATAGGACTCAGACTGGGCCAGTGGTGCTAGGAGTGGAGAAGAGATGGGTTGGAGGTACAGGGACAGGTCGTATGTGGCCAGTGAGGGAGAAAGGACTCCTCTCATGAAAATGTCTATGGATCTAGAGAATATCAGAGATGGCCCTTGAAAGTGGCCAGAGTTTTGGAGATAAGTTGGTTTGAGATCAGTTGAAGCCCAAGGAACTGAAGTTGGCAGGGACAAGATGCACATCTATAAAATCCAGAACGGTGCATGCAGGCTCAGGCATGAATTCAAGACTTGTGGCTTGGGGTAGAGAGGTACCACCCTGGGGTGAAATTAAATAAAAGAACAGCTCTCTCTTGTACACTGGGAGTAAACTCATGGCATGCATACGCCCTGAGGGGTGGCTGAGCCTAATAGTGGGAAGTGGTCCCAGAAGGTGGAAAGGGTGCTAACTATTCCTCCTACGCACACAGTGAGAACCTACTATTCCACCCATGGGTGTCAGTGCCAGATTCCAGAGCTGGCTGACATTCAAATCTTTGCCCTCAAGACCTCATAGTCTAGTGGAAGAGACCAACAAGCAGCGGAGTACCCTTGGGTGATATCAAAGCCCTCTAGGATCACTCTTGGTTGTTGGCTTTTTGACCTTGACCCTTTTGAGGACAAGAGTATCAAAGACTGGGCTCCCTGTGGCTCTTCAGGCTGCAGGACCTTATCTTCCTCAAGATGCTAGCGTGATGACAAGCAATGATCCTGAAATTTAACTGTGCTAAGTTAAGTGTGTTATAAACTATAGCTACCAACACTTGAGATCCTGGGTGTAGTTAGTTATGTAATCTGCTGGTTATGGATCTCGAGCAAGTAATCTCACATTCATTTCCCCTTAATTTGGAATATAGGGAACATCATATCTGTCCCATGTAGCTGCTAGGGCTTCTGGCGAGGTGGTAGTCGTGGGCAAATGGGTGATGGATATAAACTATAGAAAGTCTACACCCATGGAAGGTGGCATACCTTCCATCACATGAGCAGCAGAAGCAGCATGTATAGGCAAAGGACACTGAGCAATACCTCTGGATTTGAGGGCTCCAGGTCTTTGGCCCAGAACTGAGCTCTGGGTGAACTTGAGCAAATTATGCTATCTCCAGTGGTAAAATTAGGAGGCTAGCCAACAGACTTTATAACCTCGGTCATTTCTTTTTTTTGTTTCTTCTCCAGGGTTCTTTGCTAGCTAAGGGTTCTTTGCCTTTCTTCCCCTTACTAACCCCGTTCTTCCCCTCACTTCTGGCTTGTAGCCCACACTTCCTTCTTGGTCTTCTTGGAGCAGGACTGAAGGCTGCAGCGGATTGATCTTTCTTCTCCCCCATTCTCCATCCTCAGGGAGACTTGGCGGCGGCATTGCCAGGGCAAGGACCTCAGTGACTGGGTGGATGGCTGTGACATCTAGGATCTTTGAATGAATCAGACCAAGCAGGCTGGGAGATTGGATTCGGTTCCTGAATCCAGGCTTGGGAAGACAAGTCAACTAATAAAGTATAGTTTAATATACGCGTGGTTCTCTGTTCTCTCTGTGTTTCCATGTGGTGAGTTAGAGCCAGAGCATCGCAGATTCTCCCCCAGCCACCTGGGCTGGACTCAGGTGGACTGCAAAAGCCTATCACAAAGGCTTGAGGGTCAGAGCATCCCTAGCACATACCTGGCAGAATTTCGGAGACCCTCTACCTGAATCTAGGTTTGACAGAAGTAGCAAAACAAATGATAACAACGAAAAGAAAATGCCTGAGTTAAACTTGAATTTAACATACATCTTCTTATCAGAATGTCCCAAATATTGCATGGGATATACTTACATTAAAAAACAATTTGTTGTGTACTTGACATTCGCATTTAGCTAGCTAGCCTATATTTTGTGGCAGTTCTACCTGGGTCCAATGTGACTCCTGGCTTACTTGGGAAGGTTTTTGAGATGCTTACTTTCTGTGGTTCTGCTTGCAGTGGATCACTGTGGGGCTGTGGCCTGCTAGCTGGTGGCTGCACAAGGGGCCTTCCGTGGTAGCTCCCACCGGTGGGGCTTGTGTGTGTGTGGCTTGCCCACCTATGCCTGACCACAACTGAGATCTCTGAGATTGAGTCTTCTTGATTTACGAATTCACAATGTCTAGCACAGTGTCTTATGCAGAATGAGTGCCAGAATAAGCTGGTGGAAAGAGGATATCTGGATTGCACCCCCCCTCCACCTGTGCTTGGAAGTCACCTCTCTTCTCCAATGCTGGTTGAGCTGGGCTGGGTAGGCTTCAGTGGCCCCAGTCACATTATCTTGGCCCTATTTTTTTTTTTTAAGATTTATTTATTTGTGCATACAGAACTGGGGTACAGGCCAGAGGCTCAGGGGTGGTGAGAGGCTTCACCAGAGACACAGTGGGGAGCAGAACAGGCAGATCCATGAAGCACACTGCTGAGGGGAGCAGCGGGCGGGTCAGGAGAGGTCTGCCGCGCCATGTGGTCACCTCCGGGGCAGGCGGGAATCAAACTCATGAGGAAGTGGTTTTTTAGCTTCTTAGTGCTGTGCTTCAACCCGATGCGCCACCAGGGAGGGCCCTATATTGGACCTATTTTAACTTGGACATAATTCCTTTAGCTAAAAACCCACTAAATCTGAATTACTCTAAAGACAAATGGCCCAGAATGGGGATAAGTTAGCTGAAAGAGGCACTTCCTTCAGAAGTACGGGGTGGAGAGCAGCTTCCAGGAGCAAGACAGCCAATTCCCCTTCCCAACTCATCACCCACAGCCATTATCAGGGGGCAGATTCACCCCCTCTAAAATCAAAAGCCCCATTGGTGATCTGCTCACAGATGGATGAGCTGTCAACAGCTGGGCGCTTCTGGAGGCTCAACAGCAGCTGAGAACCCTGTACGTGCCTCTCCGGCAGGCCGTGGACACAGCCATCACGTTCCTTAAGTTCCAGGTCACTGGGATGTTTGCAAAGCGCTGCTGCAGTGGCTTTCCATGCATGTAAGTGTCCTGTCTTCTCAAAGTCCCCCCACGTATAATGTCATTTTATAGACTCACGTCTCCAAACTTCTCCCATCAGATTCTTTTTCTGCTCCTTCAGTCATTTTGCCATCTGTGAGAACTCACTAGCACACAAGCTGTGACAGGTGCCAAAGGTTTAAAAAAAGTTGAGGGAGGAAAAACTTGAAATGGATCAATTTTATCTATCTTTTGTTCCCCTATTGCCTGTACATGGAAAAACAGCAGCCATTATGTCATTTTCAGGAGAAATGGTGGGTGCTCTTTGCAGCTTGGCGGTTTTCTTTTAGGAGAGTTTAGCTCTTCCTAGCCAGGTGGCTTTGCCTAGCATCAGTGCACCCCTACAGAGACTCGGAGGGGACCCTTTCTCACTTGGGGCTTTCATGGTTAAAACTTGTAGAGTCCATAGACCTCCTGAAATTATATGCAAAATTTTATGTATATTTATGTGACCATGTGTGTTTTTTCTGGGGAGAGCGTCTATAGCTTTCATCTTATTTTTAATCCAAACAAGATCAAGAATTAATGTTTTACAGGAAGGAAAAAAAGATAGAAAATATATACTTGTGCTCATTTAATCTTCACAATTACCCTGAAAGTGAAGCCTCATCATTGCCATGTTCTAGATGAGCTGTGCAGGCTCTGAGCAGTAAATTAAGTACTTGCCTAGTCCCTGACACCCATTTGCAACTGAGACTCGACAGTGTTAAAGCTGAGAAGCTTTCCTTTTTCTGCCCCCTCCTCTTTTACAGAGAAGGAAACAGATGCCCAGAGAAGTGAATTGTCTGGAGTTATAGTCAGTTTATAGCAAAAAATGGGTTAGAAATTCATATTTTTGAATGTCTAAAGCCTTTGCCAATCCATCGCTTTGTTCTTGGAAGGCCAGTGAATGGAGGTGCCAATGAATGTTAAATTAATAAGAGACTGTACCCCCCACCCCCACTTGCCACTAGGCTGGGCTGGTTCCCTTTGACATGTTTTACGGTTCTCAGGGAACTTACGGCCCCAAACACCCCCAGCCCATTAGCCCTAGGAATATACAAATGCATGCGTAAAATGATCCCACATGCCAAGAATGTCCAATGAGTGGGAAAAAGCCATTGGCTAGAAACATAAATCAACACTGGCCTGGGAAATAGCTCCACAGACACTTGGAGAGTAGGGAAAGGAGCTCGAAGGACGTTTGTTAGTCATGATGCCCCTCAGTGGGGTTACCTGGCCTTTCTTCCTGTCGCTCAGTGGTCACTTTGGACACTTTCCCCTTTCACTTCTCTGTTTGGGTCCCCTGGACCTACATACAGTTCCTTGCATGCCTCTCTTTCTCTCATAGCCTGGTCTCCCTCTCTCATAGTTGTCAGTATTCCCTGCTCAGATGATAAATTCCTTGAGGGTAAGTGCTGGCACATAACAGACAGTCAATCTATGCAAGTGGAATGAAGGTGAACTTGCGTTCTCATGCATTTTCTCATGCTTCCCTCCTCCTTCCCTCCTTCCCTTCCTCCCTCCCTCCCTCCCTCTCCTGCCCGATGCCAGGAAGAGTCTCTCTCAGTTATGTATGTATGGAGCCCAACCCCGCCAAGGCCCCACACTCCCAAGCAAACTCCTTGGCATCTTCCACCCCTTTCTTTATAACTGGGATCTTACTCTAGTGCTTACTTCTGCTCTGAATTTAGTTCTCAGAATCAAACTGAAATCTCTGAGATTGCCAAGAAAAAGTTCCCAGAACTCTCTTGGGCCTCTCGGCAGGGATTTACCTGAGGAACATCTTATCTATGAGATCACTCCTGTGGCTGAGCAGGGCCTGCCGTTGACTTCTCCCTTCCCAGCTCACCAAGAACCTTCCTCTAGAGTCCCTGTGGGGACCTTTTCTGACTAGGTGTTTTCATGGTTAAAACTCTGATAAAAATAACTTCAAGCTGGAGAGAGGAACATAAAAGAACTCCAGCGTTGGGGCCAGAAACAACAGAGCAACGGTGTGTAAGAAGCCAGCTTGGGACTGAGGTGCTTATGCCCTCTGCTCTGCCCAGCTGCCGCAAATGCCACCGAAGCAGATCCTGAGGTCGTGACTGATTGATTTGCTGATCGACTTCTCTGGGTCGTGGAGGTCACTGAATTCAAGCTTGTAGTCTGGGCTCCTTCCAAACTGCATATCTTGGTGTCACCATTTGAGCCAGTCTCGAAAATGTGACAAGTCCTTGAGTCTCCTGGGCCTTCCACACCTCTCCACATCTTCACTAAGGAAATGATGACACACGTCTTCTTATTTGAAATGTGTTCATAGTAAAAATCCTGCCATTCGTAGGTCTCTGTTGCAATGGTAGTTCCTCTCAACTAGTTCATCATACTCAGTCTCTGGCTGTGGATTTGTTCTCATGAATTTCCTATCCTTTTTTTTTTTTTTTAAATCAGGTCAGGTAGGTAGATTTACTCTGAAATGAACAGAGCCAGGCTTCCTAAATCAGAAGGGCACATGTAGATGGGAGGCCTGAAGCCATTCAAATCTGCTAGAATATTCTTTGCTCCATCACAAATTGATCTGAAGGTTTTTATTTTGAAAGGCAAGCTAGAAAGCCAATGAAGCAGTTCAAATTGCAAGTTAAGCTATAGATTTTTTTAGAAATTTATGAAACTGTTAAACTGGAATAAGGCAGAAACATCCAGTAGACTCACAACTAATGGAATAGATCGTTCTCTGGCCCCTGGCTCTGGGGAAAGCAGGAGACAGACAGCCCTGCTCAGGTCTCTTTGCCTCAGATAGTCGAGGATCCAGCAACACATTTTCCAGCAGGGTTTTATCTAAGGAGACAGACATCCGTGCCCTGGAAAAGTCTGGAAAAATGATCACTGTCAGTCCTCCTGCTTTTGACATAGTTATCTTGGTCTACAAATGGAATTATGAGCCTGGGGGTTTGGGGGGAGATAGCACTGGTCCTGTAGATCATTCACTGTGTGGCCCTGGGCAAGCCCCTCTTCTGCACCTTTTGGTGAGCTCATCTGGAAAATGAGGGCAATGGACTGTGTGGTTCAAAGGGCCTTTAGCAGGCAGAATAATGGCCTCCAAAGATGCCTGGGTCCTGGTTCTGGAAATTGAATATGTTGCTTTATGTGATGTGGTAAGAGGCTTTGGAGATGTGATTAAGTTAATGAGCCTGAGATGGGATGATCACCGCCTGGTCCAATCTAATCCTGAGGGTCCTTTAAAAATGGAAGAGGGAGACAGGAGAGGGTCTGAGTTAGAGGGAGTTGTGATTACAGGAGAAGGCCATTGTCCTGTGATACAGGCACTCAACCCATCATTTGAGGATGGAGGGGCTGTGAGCCAAGAAATGGGGCAGCCTCTAGAAGCTGGAAAAGATGGCAACGTGTCTCCTCTAAAGCCTCTGGGAAAGGCAGCCCAGCTGACACCTCCATGTT